TACTTATTGCCTTCACTTTGTGTGTGTGTGTGTGTGTGTGTGTGTGTGTGTGTGTGTGTGTGTGTGTGTGTGTGTGTGTGTATATATATATATATATACACATACACACACACATACATATACATATATAACACACACATATATATATATATATATATATATATATATATATATATATATATATACACACACACATTATATATATATATACACACACACAGACTAATGTGAATGTACAATATATGTATGTAAAGTGCTGCGTAAATTGATGGCGCTCTATCAGTACTAGAAATAAAATAAAAAAATACACACACACACAGCCCACTAAATCAGCCTGATTTACCTAAATGTAAATAGTGCTCATGTGAGTTTGTGTGCATTTGAAACAAACATCCAAGCTATGTAAAAGAGAAGCTCTGCAATGAATTAGAGGTTTAAACTGCACACAGGTTTACTTCAGTTCACTTTACCCTTTAGAAAGCTTGGCCCTGGGGGTTGCTTTTCTTCCCAACTCTTTAGCAAACCAAACCCAGAGGTTGATTTAATAAAGGCAAATAGGTTGTTTCCTTTGCAATGGAATTTCCCATAGTTTAATTATGCAATCATACACTTGATTAGGTATACTATGCAAAGTGAATTTTCCCCAAAATCACTAAGCTAAGGGAAAATTCCCTTGAAACGTTAACAGCTTATTCGTCTTTAGTAAATCAAGCTCAAAGTGTGTGACAATTTAATAAATGACCCCATAGTTACATTTACTAATAACAACAGTATACAGTACCACTGCTAAACAAATTCTAAATTAGATAAACATTATGAAAAAACTGAAATGTCCATTGCTGACAGGTGATAGAAACTAGAGACTTTATTTAATAACCTGTGCAAAGAGCAATGATGTGCTATAAGCAATCTTGACAGATTTCATTTGTCTAATTATGTTCAGCTGCTAAAAACTGATATCTGATCAGCTGCAGTGGATGATGACAAATTGTTTCTTTTATACTGTGCTGTTATATAAGCCTGAACATGTGCAGAAAGAAAATGGTAAATTTTTCAGTTTTTCCGCAATTAAACAAAAACATTAAAATCTATTAAAATGACACTAAACTGGTTAAAACTAATTCAAGTATGTATACTTAACTTCTATTGCTCTCAGCCTTCTCCAAATTCCTTCTTTTTTTTCCACTGTGATCTGACTTCCGGTTAGAGGAAGACTATATTCACTCTCTATGGTCTCACTGTATGTAGACCATAGTCACCTTCTCTTGCCCATTCCCAAGATGGACTGTGGGATTTGTAGTGTGCATAGTGCAGTACATATGACTGCAACTAACATGCACTGTTCATTCCAGATAAATGGAAGTGAAAGGGGGAAAGGAGAGGTTCAGGAGCTCATAGAGGGCATTGCAAGGTGGTTAACATTTTCATGTAAAATAGATTACAGGGTCATTAAAGTGGTTCTAAAGGCAGGTGCTTTACCTTAGCGCATTCTATGCATTAATGTAAAAAACCTTCTGGGTGCAGCTCCCCTCTTATACTTACCTGAGCCCCATCTGGATCCAGCGTTGTGCACGAGAGCCACGGCTCCCTTGAATATCTCTTTCCTAATTGGCTCACACAGCAGCAAAAGCCATTGGCTCCTGCTGTTGTCAATAACAGGCAGCGAGCCCATGAGGAAAGAGCAGGGAGGCTGGGGCCGAGTCGCGCCCTGTGTGTGAATGGCCAATGATAGGAGCTGGGCTTGGAGTGAAATAAAACTGTGCAAAACATGAAATGAATCAAAAGTAATTATACACAAATCATAATAAATTATGTGGTTAGAAAATAAATGTCCAAAACCACCAAAATGAATAAAATATAAAATTTGTGTCCAAATGCAAAAAGTGATGAAACCAAAAACAAAGAAAGTCCCTTTTAAAACATGGAAATAGTGCTCCAAAATAATTTTAGGATAAGTGTAATACAGAGAAAAGACTCCACAGATCCACACCTTCCTGTGAATACTGATGTATTCCACACTCACCAGAGATAATAATAAATTGCACTTTATGGATACAATATTATCCTCCAGTTCCCAGGGAAAATGTTCTCTCCATTGTCTCCTCCATATACAAGAGCTTTCTTACATCCAACTTCAAAAAGGGATTTCCCCTCATAACGATGTGTTATATAGGAAGACAAAGGAGAACCAATAGTGCAATATTGCAAAGACTTTTAACTGAATAAAATAGTGCTCAACCTACTCACATTAGAACTTAAAATAAGTCGCCAATTGACAAAATCCTTCAAAACAGACTTCCCAGTGTAAAACGGATTCCAGAAAGTAAACCAAACTGGCAGCACTGGATATGACATCACACACTCAACATACGGAACCGGAAGTACGTCTGACTGACACGTTTCGCCCCTCCTCCAGACCTCTTTGATAACGCCCTGGAGGGGCAAAACGCGTCAGAAGACGTACTTCCATACTTCATCACTTTTTGTATTTGGACACAATTTTTTTTTTTTTTTCATTTTGGTGGTTTTGGACATTTATTTTATAATCACAGAATTTATTATTTTTGTATAATTACTTTTGATTCATTTAATGTTTTGCGCAGTTTTATTGTTTCACTGAATTTTTTATTTTTATCAATCTTTTTGATTCTTAACAAGGCACAACAGCATTCACTTTTAAATTTTTCACATTGTTCTTGTGGAGCAGGTTGTTTTTTTTGGGCTTGGAGTAAGCCTGCTCGACTGTCCCCATACCAAGAGGCTTGTTATTGAGGACACTCCGCAGGGGAAGGAGTCAGGACCGCCAGCAGGGGACCCAAAAAGAAGAGGATCGGGACTGCTCTGTGCAAAACCATTGCACAGAGCAGGTAAGTATAACATGTTTGTTATTTATTTTATTTTTTTTAATTACAACCTTTAGAATCACTTTAAGTAGTGGATGTGTATGAAATATTTTAGAGAATAAGGATATTGATAGTCCCACTTCAAGGAACATAGATAACTTTTTCTTGCAAGCGTATTAACAGCCAATGCTTGCCTCATGTTATGGGACATTTCTGGAACCCCTAAGAAAATACCAAACTGAATGCAAATCGGTTGCTGTGACAGAAAACCTACCTGCCAGACATATTAGGATGTGTCAGATCATTCTCTACAATCCAATCACTTAACAGGAGTAAAGCAAGAAGGAGATATTGATAAGGTACTGTCAGATATATGATTTCATGGGCAATCTCTTGGCTATGGCAAGCTATAGGCAACACTAGAGGGTGGTCAGCATGATTCAACTACACTTAGTGCTTTGTGTTCGTGGGTGTTGCTGTCAAATGCTGACTTTTGCATTTGAAAACAGTATTGAGTAAATTACAAACCCAAAAAGGTGGACCTGAATTTCTGTCAATGCAAATGGGACCAGAGAACCAACACATTGTGAAGTTCAAACACAGACACAAAATTGTCATCCACATTAAAACCATTGAGGTAAATGGTAATCTGCTGAAAAGAGCAAAGGCAACAGAAAAATGTGTTTTCATTTACAACAGGTTCTTTCCCCGAGTGTGCTCAGCTGTCAAGCACAGGCGGCACCCATATAAAACTCAGCATCATTCGATCGACTGCTGTTTAGCTAGGTGGAGCATATATAATAATGGAGGGCTGACCAAGACGCATACTGGAGGGCAGTTGTCACACTGAGCCTGCATTCCTCTCATTTGTATATGGCTGGCCTTAGAGATGACCAGTGCAACTATATCATCTATGTGACAAACATTCTAGAGAAAAAAAAAACACCACACTTCATAGACTGCTTCCCATAATCAAACAGCAACAAAGTCACAGGTTGCATGTATTTATTCATGCAATAGCTTAGATGACGATCACAAGGTATCTCAATCTACAAACAAAATATGCACAAATATTAAACCTATATTAAATTTGCAGGTTTCAAATTTACAAAATAAGATTAAGAAAAAGCATTTTTTTCCAATTCACACAGCATTTTAAAATCAAAGCAGGAGCTAAAGATCTTTTTACATCCAAAATTATATACAACATTTTCTACCACAGAAAATACTCAAACTCTCAAATGAACAAAAAAATGTATTCAAAATATATTTAGCAGCATTTTAAATTAGAAGAAAGCAAACGTATGCAGCTGATAGAACAAAATGTAAGTATTTTAGGAAAAAAAAAACAAAAAACTAGTAAACAAAAATAAGTTAAAGCATTTAAGTTTTAACAGTAGGACACACGCATACATCATACAACACAGCTTTGCCTTCCAGCCACATAAAAGGTTAACTGTTTGGGGAAAGAAGAAATGTGTGATCTTTAAACATTTACTGCACATAAAATCCTGAGCACAAGGACGTGCAGAAAAGCTAAACTTTGGTCAAGTATAAAGTAAGGTATTCAACACCAAAGCTTTATTGACAAGGAGTGAACATTTGTAATACATCAGGTATTGCTGGAAAAACTTACATGCTGATTTTATGTTTTACCAAAAACCATCATGGGAGTTTTTGTTCATCAATACCAACAAGTGGCTACCCCTTATCTTGGCAGTATTTAGACATAAGACCTACAGGCACACAGTTTGTATATGTGATAGCGGATACTACAAAAGTACTTCAAGTAAACCCTGTATGTTATATTTGCTTGCATACCTATACCTCATAATAGAGCAGAGCCACTGAAAATTACACAGAAACAGCTTTATATTATTTGTACCCATGACTAAAACACAACAAACCATATTTTCAGTCAGGGAGTGAAATGGAATTGTTTAGGTTATAGAACAGCAGGATCGTTATATGCGTGTGCAAAACTCGGTAAGCAGCCTACCGCTGTTAAGAATACAGTAACAGTACAGTCGATCACAATTTCCAATTAGTTCCAATATACTATATGTCGCAGTTATACTTTAACAAATGCCCAGGTAATTCTAATGGTAAACAGTTTGTCACAGTTTCTCCTTAAGACTTTATGTTGATACTTCCAGTTCAATTGCTGGCAACCTCTTCACTCGTGTCCCCAGCATCAGATATCTGCCCGTCCAGTGAACCATGAGCTTTCCAGATCCTCACAGTTTGGTCACTGCAAAGAACATAAAATGAGAAACACGAATCTTGAGGCGAATGGTTACAGTAAAGAAAAGATAATATTAATGGCCATAACAACAATAGTGCTGAAATTTTGAGCGGAGGATAAGTGTAGAAAAGCTGCAAGGATGTTACGTCAGCATAAAGTAAAGAGCATTCTTGCTGTGTAGTAGTCAGCTTTGCTCTAGCACGAGTAAGGTCAAGTTTGGATAAACTGTACTTCTACCAAAGGGGCAATTTATGGATGGCTGGGCCTCATTTGCTTGTGCCTTAGTGTAAACGTGCACCTAAACCAACTGCTTATTTAGCTTTATATTTGGGTTTGGTGAATTAAAAGGAGAAGTTCACCTTTCGTAACATATTACACCTATATTCAGGGTGTAACATGTTACAATTGGACTGGCCCCCTCAAACCCCTCCGATCCTCATTGTGACATCTAACGGGGATCTTCTCCTCCCTGCTAGCTATCACAATTTAAAAAAAAAAAAAAAAAACACGGCCGTGTCACTCATTCACAGTATTCTGTTTGAGGTGATTGTAGCCGTATTAGTGCATTTGTGGCAGAAACAATTGAGTATTGTCTGTGATACTTTTTTTATTTGCACTAACATACAATTTTGAGGACAAGCTTTCGGGGTATGTCCCCATCTTCAAAGTCCAAACAGTACTCTGTTGTGAGTATCTATGGCCTAACCTTCTGCCGTAGAGTCCAAAGTCCAAAGGTAGTTCATTGAACCTTCCTGTCAGTAAGTATCTGCTTGCCTGTACGGGATGAATGAGCAAGCAGATCTACTGACAGGTCAGGGGGGAGTCCTGCATGGCACCAGAGGATCTTTTGATCACTGGTGCAATGCTTTAGAGACTCCACAAACAAAAAATAATAAATACACTTTTTTTTTCTGCAAAACAAATGTGCATTTATTATTTTTTGTTAAACATGTTGCTGCATTTTCTGGACTCCTGACCAGTCATGCACCTATGAAACATGGATACAAGGCTCAAAGAACGCAGCATGGGTCTGGTGCAGGGATGTTTCCAGAACCACTCCTGTGTGAACTCGGGCTATCACAAACCTGGGTTTACATAAGAGCAGTGGGGAAACTGCATGCGATTTGGACAGGAATAGCATTCCTGTTCAAATCTCATGCTATTCTTTGTGGTGCAATTTGCATCCATACATTTTGTGCAAATGGCACAACAAAGTATCAGTTTCAGGAGCATTTTCACTACTACTCGTGAAAATACTTGGTATCAGCACCAATACTGACATCTGTGCATCCCTAATTGAAACATTTTTCATGCATTTTTCTTCTGCTTTTTTTAACCCGAAAATTGATCAGTGTGAAAGGGCCTTTGTGGTTTGCTCACCCCTTGTTGCGATTAGGCCACATAACTAGGCAATAACTACATTTCTTATTTCTTAAGAGCTTTCTTCTTATGTTGCCCTAAACATAGCTAACAATATCTCAAGTGTAAAAAGAGATCGCCAGTCAGGTTTTTACTGTTCTGTCTCTGTTGGGGAAACTATCTGTGCCGTGACTATTGTCACACGGGAAGTTGTTGGGAAATCCAAAAATGTATAGCTGTCACCAGAACAAGAAGTGGGAGACATCTTTCAAAGTACACATCGGTTCCGGTGTTAACTGTGTAGGAGATTATTTCCTTTTATGTACTGCTGTGTCTTTGGGAAAGGAAGCGAAAAGAAATCGATTCAAGAGGGCAGAAATTATTCAATACTCTAAAACAAAACCAAAAAACTGGTTTTAGATGTACTTTATTAATGAGCAATTATAGTATAACATGTGAGCTCCTGCCATCTTCTTCATAAAACATAACTTTTTTTAGATTTTTTTTTTATTTTGGAACATTAAAAATGTGTGCATCCACATGTTATTTGACTATGTACAAGGACAAAAAACTTGAAGATTTTTCAATTCTCTAGAAATAGGCCCTGTACTTTTATTTGGTATAGCTAGAACAGTTGCTCATCAATGGCCTAAAAAATACAATCTAAATGACTTATCTTTTAATTAAAGAACTTTAAGTGCAATTAGCTAACACTACCAAAAAGTCAATATACATATATTACAATATACAGTATTTTTCGCTCCATAAGACGCACCTAGGTTTTAGAGGCAGAAAACGGGAAAAAAAAAATTCTGAACTAATGGACTGCAGACATAGTACAGGAGATGACCAGAGACTGCGGACAGCACAGGGATGACCAGAGACTGCGGACAGCACAGGGATGACCAGAGACTGCGGACAGCACAGGGATGACCAGAGACTGCGGACAGCACAGGGATGACCAGAGACTGCGGACAGCACAGGGATGACCAGAGACTGCGGACAGCACAGGGATGACCAGAGACTGCGGACAGCACAGGGATGACCAGAGACTGCGGACAGCACAGGGATGACCAGAGACTGCGGACAGCACAGGGATGACCAGAGACTGCGGACAGCACAGGAGATGACTGCTGACCTTTGGGGAGGGGGGGGGAGCAGGTACCTGAATTTGACAGGTACCCGCTCTTACGTCCGCGGAGTTGTTCTTTGATCTAACCTGTTCCTCTATCCAGCCGCGCGCTGTCTTCACGGCTTCTGTAGTGTCGGCGCTCGGCATGACAACCGGGTGCCCAGTGCGCATGGGCGAGAAGCACTTGTGCTTTGTGATTGGTCCGGGGGCTTCTGGGATCTGTCATGTGTCCCAGGTACCGCCTTACCATTCACAAAAAGCACCGCTTCTTGCGCATGCGCACTTGGCACCCGGCTGTCAAGCCCAGCGCCCACACTACAGAAGCCGGGAAGACAGCGCGCCGCTGGATAGAGAAACAGGTAAGGTCAAAGAACAACTCCGCGGAAGTAAGAGCGGGTACCTGTCAAATTCAGGTACCCGTTCCCCACCTCCCCAAAGGTCAGCAGTCATCTCCATAAAGTCCCACTGCAGAGCTGAGCGGCCGGCCCGGTATTCTGACACGGCGGCAGTGGAAATACCGGACCGGCCGCTCCATATGATGCACTTTTTTGGGGGGAAAAAAGCGCGTCTTATGGAGCGAAAAATATGGTACTTAAACATTTAAATCATGAATAAGATCTACCATAGATTTCACACACACACACAAAATAGACACCAACAATGATAAAATTGTATGAAAATCCTTACTCTGCTGCAGTAAATATGTGTGTTGAGTTGGTGCAGATTGCATTTATGGGGCTGTCATGACCCTTGACCTCTCCAATAGGCATGAAAGTATCGATATTCCAAAGTTTCAGGATGCCTCCCCTACAGCCACTGAGAAGAACAGGGCAACTGGGCACGATTCCAAGAGCACACACCCAATCTTTGTGGGCATTTGGAACTTGCTGGAGGGAAAGAGAAGAAAAAAAAATTAAAGCTTACTAACACCAATATAAAATGTCATAAAAAGGTTCAGATGTTCAAAATTAGCAGACATACATAAAGAAGGTCTTTCCGGGAAAGGTCCCATTTTTTTATTCCGTTGTCCCTGGACCCACTGAAAAGGTTGTCTCCGCTGATGACAACTGCTTCTATGCCATCATAATGGGGTGGTTCAAAACAATGTGTAGGGCTAATGGCGCCAAGAGCACCTTCACTAATATCAAACATCTGTGTAAGATTAAAAAGAAGAAATGATAAAATAGACATACATTAGAGAGGAGCAGAGAAGCCTGCACAAATACTAACAAGGGCATAAATAGGGAGTCTCAAGATAGTAGATATCTTCAGATAGCAGCGGTTCCACTTGCCAATGTGTCACACCTGTTTCTGCTGAGCAATATACATACCCTACAAAATGCCTGCTCCTAGGCATCAGTGTTCTTCTGCACTGTGACTAGTGTTATGAAAGACCCATTCCTTTTGAAACACTGAACACAGAGAGACATATTGGCTGGTGTCTGCATAGTAGGTGCCACTCACTGCTGTGATCCCCTTACTATAAGGGCATAGCAGCCTGTATGCTTGAGAGAATACTTTAGTTACAAAGTAACAGAGAAAACTAGAGGCTGTGGAATGGCTTTCTTTGTTTTTTAATATACAACTAGCATTTGTACTTTGACTTGTGTTGATATCAGACTTTACACAACACTACTCAAACTGGAAGAGAGAATGGCACTCTAAACCAATCAGGGCTTCATTACTTGGCATCAGTTGTTGATCACAGAAGTGAAGAACAAAGATAACAATCTCTCTTACTGCTAAACAGTCTGGAAGAGAGCTAAGGAAGCAAAACTTCCCCTCCATTTAAATAAGGTTACTAATCACATTGGTAACTATTATAATTATGAATAGAGGGTGAGTTTTGAACTGTCCACTGGAGTTTGGAGGATGTCTTCAGTTATAAAATGCAGGACATACAGTATATGTGGGGCATATAAATGAGATGCAGGTTATGACTATGACCTGAAGTTCTACTTTAATTTATGGGTCTTTTTACCTCTTTAAGGCTGTCCATACACCGCTCAAATATTGGCTGATTCCTCCTGGCTTGGCCAAAAGCCAACCAGTGTATGGCCATGCTGGCACCGCTCCACTGGATAAAAGTCAATTTTCAATTGACTTTTGTCATTGGAGCCTGTCATAAAGTTAACTGCCACACAGCGCTTGCATTCAGTCAGATGCAGGGCAGTTTGGGTATTCTGACGGCTGGCGCTGACAACTTTCAGAGTACAATAGCCTAGCAGAGGGGAGGATTTGTTCATCTAGCTTTACTGAAAAATTATGCATTAACATAACTTTCCTGCGGACTAACTCTGCTTCCTAAATATTCTAAAGAAGCTTGTGACCAAATCACATATTTCAGATACATATCATGCACAAAATATGCTGTTTCACACATAATTATAGCTGTTACCTTAATGTAGTGATCCTTCGAGCCTGTGATAATTAAATCTTGGCCACTGGCAACCTGATCTACAGTTAAACACATGACTGGCCCAAGATGTCCAGTTAACTTTCCCGTAGACTGAAACCTTATAGAGTAAAAAAACACAGCATTTTAAAAAGAACAGTACAACCAGATTCCCAGAAAAAAAAAAAAAAAAAACTAAAAACCAAAAATAAAATTCAGGAGGTCCTGTTCAGCCATGGGCCTGGTTTTGAACCTTTCAGTGTCTAGGAGTATAGGACATGCTCAGTGAGATGACCGCATACATTTTTTGGAATGCAATTTGTTTAAATCAATTTTGCATGACTTTGCAGTCCTTGTTGCAACCTTCTGACCATGTAGGTACTGTTTATTTATGAGCCTGTTGTTCCTTTTTGTAAACCTGTAACTTTCTGCAGTAAATATTTTCTGCTTACTGTAGAGGCGATTTGAATATTTGGATGTTAATGAAGAAAAAAAAAAAAATAGTATCAAGGACCGTACTCAATTCTTGCTGCTTACTGTATACACATTTTATTTATTTTTTTAATATAACCTGATCCAGTTGATTATCTCTATTCAACTTTAATAACTCTGATGAAGGGTGATCGTTATGCAATTTGTTGGGCATTTCTTTGAGGTCACTGTGACCAATAAAGACCAGCTGAACTCCACCTACTTTGTGGTATTCCCCTTTGTCAAATCTATTGCAGTAGCTCCAAGGACCTATCTGGGCCCATTGGTTTCTAAAGAGCTGACTCTTAATTTTTAAAATTGGGAACACCTATTTATATTTGGGTCCCATGCTCCACTAAAATGTTTCCATTGAAAATTTTTTTCACTGGCAAGCCCATTTTATTTACATCCTGTATCGCTGTATAGCATGGATGGAAGATTTTTTTTCTTAATTTATTTCAGAGTGCAGACTGAACATAAAAATTGAACCACGGGTGGCTCCTCTATTTAGAGAGAGCAACAGGGACACTCTTGGACAGCACCCATCTGGAAAGTATAGTATTGGATGGACTAGTAAATTTACATAAACTTTACATAATTTCCTAAGAAATCAAGCTGAACTCCAACTAACTTTTTTAAAGAATATATGCATGCAGGTACCACATGGCAAATTACGGATGTTGTGTATTTCAAGATACAGTAACAAAACTAGATAGCAAGGGTGTTTTAAAAAGTAAAAAGTAAAAGTAAAGGTTAGAGAAATCCTTTTGATTACAAGTCTTTTTAACAAGGATAGGTGTCAAAACTGAAGGTGAGAGTCTCAGAAGTGCAATTATATCATTGTATCACAATAGTGGTGTTTAAGCTACATTTCACCCTTTAGGGGGCAAATGGCTTAGACGATTATACTTAATGGCAAATATTCTTTCATGTGCGCATTGTTGGTTCACATCTTTAGAACCTTGGTACAATGCACAAATCATACATATAGCACACTAGTTCCTACTCCCAGTTAAAATTGCTCTCCGTGTCATACATTACACATGCTATACTTCACATTAAAACTGCACAGCATATCATTTACAATGTACCACTTAATCCATAAAACAGACATACCGCAAACGGCAGTTCTATTTTAAATGAAATCCCATCACAATACACCCTAAAGCACAGGCTCTATTGCACACTGTATACATTGCATGGCACATAATGCATAACACTTGCTGCACTCTACAATACAAACTGCACTCACTGCACATCACATGCAAACACGGAGCTCTCTTCCATACCTTGTACCTCAGCTGAATTCTTCTGCGCACTTTAGCTTTTGCACTTCTCCACTTTGGTTTGGCCCTGTTACAACTTTCCTTGCCTGCTCACTCTGCACATCATATAAAAGCAAGGGGTGGCAGGCACAATATAGTGCTTAACAGATGTAAGTATGGAACGTAATGACAGGGCAGAAAAGAAACCGGCTGCAGATCAGGAAAGAGGTGGGCTTTACTCTTATCCTTGCCTTGCTGGCCAGAAACATCTAATAACACAGAACAGTGGATAACATTTTGACTACATTTCAGCTCATGTAGTTTTTGTAGCTTTATTAGAGGCAACCCAGAATGGAATTATCACTTATGCATAATGAAGCGGTTAGTGGCACAAAATTAATAAGCAGAGTCTCTAAAATTACCTTAATTCTACATCTCACATTACTTCTATTCTAAAATGATATTTTGAACTTTAAAATCCTTTTATTTCACATTCTTCATTTTTTTATTTTTAGGACCATGACCAATAAGCAGATATTATTTCAGGATATCTATAAGTGTATATTGTGCATTTTAAAACAGTATATTTAAATGTTTGTGATAAGTACAGAGAGCTTATTTTTTTACATTATATTCAATCCTTTGTCTCTTACCAATGATAGCAGGTATCCAGTACCATGATTTCAGAATTTTTTTTTTTTTTTTTAAAAAAAGCATAAATCTGTAAAGATTAAATTACCTTTTCAGGTCCCACATTCTCACTGCATTTCCAGCTGCTGCATACAAGAAGGTACCAGTTGGATTTAGTGCAATCTGGTTAATTTGATTTTCACCAGGAGGAATAGTCACTGTCCTGCTTTGACTTCCAGCGCAGGAATCCCATGTCATGACTTGACCTGAAGACCTTAAATCAAATAACAAACAACATGTTACATAAACTTCCCACTGTTAAAATGAAAAATACACTTAAATCTGATAGAAGCAAGACTTTGCTGTACTTCACTATGGAGTTGAAATAAAAAAGAAATAAAAAGGTACTGCATGTACTGTTCACCTCCAGCAATGTCCTTTTGTTCTGTCAACGACAGGTAGATGACAGTAGTATGACACTTTCAACACAAAACCTCTTTTAGAAAAATTAGGTTTATATCAGGGCCATGTTACATAATAATGGCCACATTTCTATATGGTTAACGCTAATCATAAAGCAGCAATTTATATATATATATATATATATATATATATATATATATATATATACACACATATACATATACAGTTAGGTCCATATATATTTGTACACAGGCACAATTTTCGTTTTTTTCAGGTATTTACCAAAATATATTCAAGCTATAGTCATAATGGATATGGGCTAAAAGGGTACACACTCAGGTTTAAATTTGAGGGTATGTACATCCAAATTAGAGGAAGGGTTTAGGAATTACAGCTCTTAAGAGTAGCCAGCCCCCCCTTTTCCAAGGGGCCAAAATTAATTAGACAAATGAATATAATCA